CCTAGCCACAGACACCTTTCAGTGAGGTTAAAGGTGGTGGTGTTGCAATGGATGTTACTGAATGCTTTTTGGTAGTAACATCGGCTTTTGTTGTCAGAGAGATTGCTAATTCAATTTTCCTTTCTGAAATAGATGTCTTGGATGACATTTTTTGTGGTTTATCAATCACCCTTCTGTCTGGCAACTTAACGAACTGTTACTTCATTTTCTTATGTGCATGTTCCTAATGTAGATCAGCTTAAATCACGCTTCAATGACACTTTATTTCCCGGGTTTTTGGCTTCTCAGTGGTCTCTACATTTGAGGTGGATGAGGTGCATTAGACACCCCTAATTTTGAAGTGGTAGGCTTGAGGGAAAGCAACTAGTAAGTACCAAACACTGCCCACTCTTGGCCTACTCTAATCATTTTTATAATGCATCCCTGGTCCCGAAGTGTAGAGCACAATTTGTTTGGAATAACAGGGTATGAACCAGAAACCCAAGATCTACAGTATGGCATGCTAACTACCGGAATAGGACATGAACCAAGAAACCCAGATCCATAGTATGGCATGCTAACCACCGGAATAGGAGATGAACCACGAACGCCAGATCCACAGTATGTCATGATAACCACCGGGTCATTCTTGGACCTATCCTCTTGGGTATACTTGATTTGATTATTTTGTGCATTGTGACTAATGTGATTTTATGAATGTGTACCACGAACAACTATGCACACGAGTATATGAGTAATATGAGTATATTATTATTATTATTTTTTTTTGCTGGTTCACAGAAAATAGTTATAACTAATACTATAATTAATTCATATTCATTATTATTTACTACTTACATCATGAGCTATCTTCTTATCCAGGTCACTGTGAACATAATGATAAATGACGTATCGATACTAAATCATGTAAATTATAAGAAACTGTTACTGGTAAGCAATAATGTAAAGTTGAAGTATGATGTCACAATATGTGTCGGACAAGTCATATAAATAGTTGACTACAGTTTCATATAGTTGTGTAACGGGCTATGTTATAGGAGCCTATTGGTACTAAGTTGGTTACAGTGTATGATAAAATAATAATGTACTACATAACTGGTTAGTAGCAGATGTCCATATATGTAAGGCAAATAATGCTAATATAATTCACTCATAGCACTCACTATACATATACCAAAATCACAGAGAAAAGATTTATTGGCTTCAGTTTTAGACCTGTCTGCCATATGTATTAAAGTACCATGCCTAGACTTTCTGCTGTAGCCTGCAATGTGTGTGACTAAATACCAAAATATCATTAACGCACATCAAGCAGTGTTATTACTATAAATAATGTTATCCACATTGCTAGAAAGGAACTGGTACATTTTACAGTTTGAATGGTATGACCAAAAAGTTATACAAGCCTTATTTGGTGCTAAAAAAGTCTTGGCTTTGCTTTTGTCATCTAGTTTGTTTAGCCAATAGCCACAAACGAGGTCTAGTGAATATAACCTGTGGGATCTATCCAGTACATCTTGGCATTTGCTAATTTACTTTTTTAATCTAGCTTGTCTTGTTAATAGCCAGTGAATATAACCTGTGGGATCTATCCAGTACATCATGGCATTTGCTAATTTACTTTGTCATCTAGCTTGTCTTGCCAATAGCCAATGAATGTAACCTGTGGGATCTATCCAGTACATCTTGGCATTTCCTAGTGGGAGAAACACATCACAATACATGTTACTGTAGTGTATTCACGCATGTGAAGGTCATAAAAACTTTTTTTCTGTCCGATGATTACTATTGGCCATAACAAGGTACTTTATAAAAGTGGAATGATTCCGTCCTTTTGCATTCAATCTGTCTCAGCGCTAGATACGTTACTGATGTTTCAATAATGTTTACATGCTGGTTGCTTTATAGACAACAAGGCTCTGGTATCTATATAGAACAGAGTGATACTTGCCCTTTCCACTAAGCTAATTTGTCAAACAAATGCACTGTTCAATTCCACTACTAACTCTCTGATTTTCTTATCCTGGACTGACCTTAGATTGTCTGCACAATCTTTAACCAGTAACTTCAGCTGTATTGGCAATGGTGTAAATTTATGTCATTACAGTGTAGCCAAAATGCAAGTTTTGGTCACTCCTCCTTCATGCACCACAACAACCACCAGTAACTTTGTTGTTTGTTAGAATTAGGTGATACGCAGAGAAGAAAATTAATTATTGCAAAGTGAAGGAGAAAATTAAATTTTCGGTAGAAGACTTTTCCAAGTCAAGCTCCTTTGATCTCACTCTAAGATCGCCTTACTTTTCTCCTCTCTGCCACCTCTCAGATGAATCAACGACAGCTTCTGTAACAACAAGATCTTGATCATGGCACAAACAATTTGCCTCAATAAGCTGTGGTATTCTACGGATAAACCAAAAATACATTTCATGATTATTGCAATAATAAGATGTCTGTGGAACAGGTATAGTGATTTTTTTTAAACTGAAAGAAAAAGAAAAGACGAACAAAAACAAATACTTTATTAATCAAAGTAGACAAATTACAGTGATATGCAAAATCGTTAGGACAAGAGAATATTTTGCCATTCTTTCCATTTTATGGGGCTAATTCTTCCATGTCATTACAAAATGTAAATGTCAACTCTATGGTAATGCTTCACTCATCTCTGTTGACAATTGAGTGAGCTAGGGTGAGAGTACTTATCATTCTTTAGAATTCCCATATACTTGTACCAAGTCATAAGGGTTCTACTTGAATGAACATACTGATCAAATTTAGGGTCTGAAGTAACTGTCATGGTAACCCATGTAGTGTATTAACTATATAGATAAGAGCTAGCAAGGAGCCAAGCTTTTGTGCGAACTCCCTGCTCTACTGACAATTCTCTATTCTTTTATGGCCTTGGCATGACAACAAAACTTAATATATATATATATATTATTAAACACTGTTTTTATCAAGGTTTATTTGTGGAATGCTATTAAATTGATTTTTTCTAGCATATACTGGTTCCATATGTTTACGTGATGCTGGTTTGATTCTCCGACAAATTGTTGCAGACTTGAAATGCTCCACAAAAACTGTCAAGTACACCCTAGATCGTGAGAACAAGACAGGTAAATTTGACAATAGGAAAGGAAGATGCAGAACACCTAAGCTCAATGATACTGATGTTAAGTATCTTCGTTTATGCAGCCTTTGGGACAGAAGGAAGACTGCCACTGATCTCAAGCATGAGATAAACGACCACGTACCAAATGACAGAAAAGTGTCCAGGTCTACAGTATCAGGGAGACTCAACGAAAATATAATATTTGGTCGTGTAGCAGTTAAAAAACCTTTACTTTGATCTCCAACTATTGTAAAGAGACTGAAATTTGCTAAAAAAGTACAACAACTGGATTGGAAAAGGGTGTTATGGACGGATGAGTCCAAGTTTGAAATATTTGGTTCAAAGTGTAGGTTGTATGTCCGGTGGAAGAAAGGTGAAAGATACTTACCTGAATTCATAGCACCTACCATGAAGCATTGGGGAGGCAGTGTGATGGTTTGGGGGTGTTTTTCTGCTGATGCGATACTTGCAAGATAGATGGAATAATGGACCAGCGAAAGTACCATCAGGTACTGATCCGTCATGGTATATCCAGTAGTTTGCGTATTATTAGTAAATGATTCTACTACCAAGAAGATAATGACCCAAAACACTCATCCAACCTATGCAGAAATTATGTGGCTAAGAAAGAAGCTGCTGGAGTAATTCAAATGATGCATATGACCCCCACATAACCCCGATCTCAACCCAATTGAGCAGATCTGGAATTTGATAGATCAAACACTTGACAAATCAAAAGTTACTTCCAAAGAAACTTTATGGAAGTGTATTAGAGACTTTTGGAGTAAAATCCCAAAGGAAACTTTGATTAAATATGGTGCAAAAGGGGGACACACAAAATATTAACTGAACTCTAGCACTTCCACCGAGTTTCTGTTGTACTAAATATGAAGATTAATAAAATGTTGATGTTTCACCTGTGATTTACCTTCGATTGTTCTTTGAAAGAAGCCCGAAATCTAATTTTTGACTTTGTCCTAACTCTTTTGTACAGTACTGTATATGTTGAGCGATTGATCTATTTGAAGGAATACTGTAATGGTGTTTAAGTTCAAGTTAAATGAATGAACTGTATTTAAATAAAGTCAACAAAAGAAACTGCACGTAATAAGCTACTTGAAATAAATTCAAGGGGATTGGCGTAGAATATACATAGGAAAGGCGTACACCTAATCAGGAAACTAGACATTATAATAACTGATACAGAGACGAAACTTCATCAGTAAGTCTTAACTCCTTTAAGCCAGAAACAAATCTCTTTCAACATCACCAAATTAGCTCTTACAGTCCACAAATTGGATACAATAATTAAAAGTTCCGGATTAGCACCTTAGTGTAATTTAAAAATTACGTATCGTATAAAACATGTACGCTAGCAACGTACGTGGTATCCGCATAGAGTACGCTGATCAACTGCGAACTGTATTTTCCAGCACAAAAAAAGAATCAAGAGAAGTGTATGAAAATATTTTTATGAAACAAATTAAGAGATAAAAACAAAATACTAAACATTCATAATTTTTGTTTAGATTCGAACCCTCTCTTTTTTTTTTCATTTAAAGTCACACTTGACAAAATAAATTACCGACGTAAAAATCAACTGTCGATAGTTTCTATGCCCTTAAAAATTTACCTCCGTTTGATGGACTATCTTTTCAATCTTTGTAGATACTATTCACGCATCAACTTAGTGTATATTCTACTACTTAATACTAGTGTATTAATCCGCAGTTCTTACTTGCTGTTCCGCAGTGGCTCAGCCCTAAATCTGGAGGATTATAACTCTAAAAGCAGGTTTCGATACCCAGGAGGGACAAAAAAAAAATTATATTGTGAAGCTTTGCACTTTAACAACAACAACAAAATAACAAAAACAAAATCTTACTTGTTTTCCCGGGCTGGATTGAAATACTAGTATCACTGTCTTGGTTTGATTAATTCCCCTCTTCTTAACAATAACAGTTTCTTTCTGAATTTATCACACTAGGAATTGTAATTTCTGTTTACTTCAAGCTCTAAGAATAGTATTTAACTCAATACTTTTGTGTTAGGAACCTCAACATCCTGTTGATGATGTCCAAAACAGTAAAATCTAGAAACAGTAACAAAGGTTTTAGTAATTGGTTTCGTTTTAACAAAGTGCGATTGATCTAGACGACAAAACCCGAACTAAATGATTTATTACGCAGTACACAAAGAGTAAATCTTGCGAGAAACCCTAGTTTTCAATCTTCTTGTTATTTTGATCTTATTCTTCACATGAGCTAGCACTAGTAATAAAAAACCGCTCTGTACCACGAGCAAGTGTCCTCTATCCTTCTCAGTCTCAGTAGCGTCTGTCATACAGCACATATTTTTCACTGAAGCTTAAGCCTGTAATCCTCCGCCTCGTGATTGGATAAAAGTTTATCTAACATAGGGCGTCTGTTTTCTTCAAAGTAAAGCTCAGGGAATATTGCTAAATAAACTGTTAACCTTTTTTTCTCTCTTTCTTCACTTTTGTAGTATTTTTTTATTTAATGAAATAGTTTTTGTTTGAAAATTAGCATTCGCGAAAAACGAATCACCCATTGATATTTTGAAGCAATTTTGAAGTTTTCTAAATGATTGATTAAGATTAGGAATTAAGTGTTTACGACGAAGAAATGAAAATAAATGAAGAATGTGTATGGATAAGAATGGATCCCTTATCATGAAGGCAGATAAGCTTCTTAATAAAACAATTAAGGAGGAGATGACATTTAAAATAAACATTGTTGGGATTACAATATCCTTATGCTAGTTAGATTCAAATTATTGAGATTTATGGGCCTTTTATTTAAGTTATATTATCTGAAGAACTTTATGTTTTAGTTAATAGGTCCTTGAAAGTCCACCCACAGAACATAAATCAAGCGTTATTTTAGAATACACGAAAACAAATACATCTTGTCATAAACCCTGCTACAAAATAACTTAAATTTATATACGTATATATCAAGATGATGTTTTCAAAAACTCCCTTACGAGTTTAAGCGACATAAAAGTTATGCACTTTTTCTTCAGCTTATAGTAAACACTTCTCATTTTCCTAAGCCTCTTTATGAACTGCTAGCGCAGTTAACCTTCCCTTAAATCTGCGTGAATATCTGAAACAAAACTAACAATACCCAACCACATGCGCACTCGAAGACGACACTTACACAGTAACTACAACAGGGCGAAATTTATACGCGTGGCCCGTGTTGCCTCGCTAAATTTGTTCTTTTACGACTCGAGAAAAATGTTAATATTTAGGACTTAGTGAAACAAAATCAACAGTAATACAATAATATCCCAGTGTATTACTTTATAAATCAGCGGTAATACAATAATATATCAATGTATTACCTTATGCTGTTTGCAACTCATGTACAAGAAAAATAGTAGCTGATACATGTTTCCATTTTAACATCTTTAACTGAATTCCTAGAAATCACCCTTTACAACTTGCCGTAATCGCTCTTCGTTCGTTTCACGAGAATGTGTGGAACACCACTGCAAAGTGCCAATGTTGTATTCAAGGTTGGGCGCGTATGTAACGGTGTAGTACACGACCTTGTTCGCCGATTTTGTTTTTGAAATAGAAATAATCTGATCTCATACTGTGAGTTAAAACAGATGGAAAGAGATAAAAAATATAACGTTAAAATGTTCATTGAGACTTTAATGTAATTCTTTTCTTCAGAAATCGGAGAAGAATGCATGATAAAATACAAAAATACTTGGTTAAAAGTAACGAAATTTATTAGTGGCTGTTTGTGCAATGATCCCTTAGTGTGAAGGAGTGTTTAAAA